ACATATAGGCCTATATTCAATCTATTTACATACATGTTAATATAGACAAGGCAACTCAATTTTTTTTTAAACAAGCTTCCCCACTCTGGAATCAACCTCACACCGTTGAAGTGCTACAACAAAGAGCCTAAACTTTCCAGTACAGAGGTCAGAGTTGAGAACAGTGAATGAATGGAAAACAACATCACAGAGGTCACAGAAGTCACAGAGGTCACAGAGGTCACAGAGATCATTCTCCTTATGGCAGTTAACAACAGGATAACAAAAGAAACAATGCTTATTTTGTTTTAGTATGTGTTTTACAATACTTGCAACACAATCAGGACATATAAGTGCTGAAGATTAGAGGTGTTACAAGAGATTAACAAACGCAAAAAAGATGGAAGAGAGAAAAGGATGATAGATGTTTGATAGGAAATAAGGAGCAAACACACCAGAGGAACCACCGGCCATCCACAAACAATATCTATACAGAGAGAAGAAGAAACAAAAAAAATCACCTCTGCCTCTGCCTACATACCAATCATCCGATAGGCGTAGAGGTAGGCTTAAAGTAAATGAGGAGGAGGGGAGGGGGGAGAGGGAGAGGGACAAGCATGGAATGAAGGAGGATGATGATAGTAACATTTTAGCAAAACTTTTCTGCAGAGAGAGAGAGAGTCACAGGCAATGGTGGTTGGAAGGGAGGGAGAGAAGAGGGGGTCCACAGGCACCAGAAGTTGGAAAGGGTGGGGAGCACTGTTTTTTTAAAGGAAAATAGCCATGTTATTGCAATTAAATAAAAACAAACAGGCAAGTAACTACAAGCATTATTATACATACAGCCAACTCTTTCAAGCATACAACAATATTTTCCTCCAGAATCAAATAATGATGGAAAATAACGAGCGCTATAATTATTTGGGGGGGGGGGGTTGTTTTTTTGTTTGAATAAAGAGAAGCACATCAACAAATTAACATTAAGTCAGTTAGTCCTATGAAAAATAAGCCAAAAAAGAGAAAAAAAGAAAGAAATGAGTTAGAACCTAAAAGTGGCACCCCTCCAACCTCCACCAGCACCTTAGTTATAAATGACATAAATAAAAGTTTTAAAAGATGAAATCAACTTGACATGAACCGACTCTGAAACATTTGTCTTCCCTTTATCAAATAATAACAGAAAGCTTTTTCATTTAGCTTTAGAGAGAATTTTACTTCAGAAAGCGTTTTTATGGCACTTGCAACACAAATAGGTCATCAAAGTGTTGAAGATTAGAGGTATTACACAAGAATGACTTACAAAAAAAAGAAAAAGAAGATGAGATAAGGACAATAGATGTTTGGTAGGAAAGAAGGAGCAAACCACATCTAAGCGCCTGCCAACCACCCATAAGATGAGTCGCATGAAAACAACTTGATGAAATGAATTGATTGTAATTCCTCATATCAAACAAAATCAAAAATCAAATAACAGAGGGTATATTTCATACGTTATGGGCAATAAAAAGAGTTTGTACTGGCATCTGGTTTAGAGATTAGAATTTGAAACAAAGGTCATTCCAATCAAGTTTGTAAATAAATATGATGGTAGACTGAGGAGAAAGCAGCTCAAAATAAACAGAATTATAGCTGGATGGAATGAACAATTTATACTGGCAATATATACTCTGTCACATTTTTAAGTATACACTGTGTTAAAATGAAAACAGCTGGTTTCACAATGAGCCGATATTCTTAAAAAGTCCAGGAATACTAATTCTATCAATTTTAAAAATGGAAAAACCCAGCAATATGTAAAGTTAACATAACAGGTTTATTCCTGACTTACAAGAGGGTGGTGGGGTGGTCTACAAAAGCAACACGATCAGTAGCGCGCATGATGTCCTCTTGCATTGATGATGGCCTGACATCGTCATGCATGGAATCAATCAATCGCTGCACTGTCTGTTGAGGGATGTAATTCCACTCTTCATGCAATGCTATTTCAAGTTGAGGAAGTGTCTGGGGCTAGTGTTGTCTCCTTTGAATGCCACAATCGAAAAGTCTCATAGATGCTCAATGGGATTCAAATCAGGTGAGTAGGCAGGCCACGGCTGAAGAACTGGAATGTTGTTTTTATGTAGGAACTGGGTGGTTAGACTATCTCTGTGCACAGTGGCATTGTCATGCATAAAGGTCAGTCCCTGGTTTTAAATGACTGCAACAATGTGCGGCCGAAGAATCTTGTCAATGTATCAGTGTGCTGTCAAATTGCCATGAACAGTCACAAGCGGGTTCTTGCCAGCTGCAGTAATTCCCCGCCACACCATAATAATAATAATAATAATAATAGCATTTGTATAGCGCATATCCTATCCCCGCTCAGCAACAGGCTCTATGCGCTTTACACTATATTATTACCCCAGCAGACCATAGAACACTCCGAAACATTCTCAGCTTCCCGGGAAGCATACAGTGCAAGCAGCCGATTAAGCGTTCAAACACTAACAAACTGACAAGATCTTTCGCTGTCTATAGCCGGGTACCCATTCCCACCTGGGTGAAGTGAGGAAAATTCGTGTAAAGTGCCTTTCCCAAGGACACAACGTCGGGCCCTTACGGTTGCGAGTCCGAGAGCCTAACCACTAGGCCACCGACACCATCACACTTCCATCACCAAAAACTCTGGCCTGTGTTAGACACTGAGGAACGGTCCTCTCATTTAATCTCTCGAATACATGTTTTCTTCAATGTTGACTTTCCAAAAGAAACCTGGATTCATAGGAGAACATTCGGTTATTCCATACCTGGTGAGACCAATGTGAGTGTATTCTTGCCCAATCAAGACTGTTTCTGATGTTGTAAGGTGTCAATCTGATGCGGAGAGCTGGGCGCCTTGCTCAGAATCCAAATTCTTTCAACCATCTCAATACAGTCATTTTTTATATTGGGTTGACAGGTCGCATGTAGTTTAACTCATCTCTGATTTGTCTTGCTATTTTGAAACGATTCCATAGATGTGACAGGCGTATAAAAAGATCTTCTCTTGGGAGTAGTTTTTTTTCTCCCAAGTCAACAGGGTCAATCCTTTTGTGATCCTGATGTTCTCTAACGATCCACTATTGCTTACACAGTTCTTCTTGTGACATTAAAAAGTCTCGCAACAGTGGATACTGAAGCATCCCGCGGATCATTCCAACAAGATGATTTCACACATTTTCTTTTAGGCGTGGCATCATTAAGAAACGTAGACAACACGAGTTTTATCACTGACGAATTGTTACTAAAATGACAAAGCTCTGATGTGTAATTCTTTTTTAAACAAGTCATTACTATGTCACGAGTAATTTTCAACAAACACAAAATATATAAAATACACGCAGTAACAAAACCACTCATGCGTTCAGAAATCTGAAAACAACTCACCAGTGACAGGTATATTACGTAGTTAGTGTGTACATTTGAAAGTAATTGTTGGAATAGATTTTTTTTATTGAGCTTTAAAATGTGTATACTTTAAAATGTGACAGAGTATATTACAAATGGAATGCACAGAGTCAGAATTAACTGGACTATTCAGGAATGCAATGTAAGCAGTGGCTAGACTGTTATGGAATGAACAATGTCAGAATTAAGTGAACTATCACAAAATGTTTATTGACAAAACCAACAAAAGTATAAACAAAGATGAATGGACAATGTCAGAATGTCAATTTTAATTGTTCTTTCAGGGGATGCACAATGTTATAGCTAACTAAACTTTTAAACAATGTAGGCCTACAAGTGTCAGAATTAAACTATCAAGGAATGCACAATGTCAGAAATAACTTAACTTCCATGGAATGCAGAACATTAAAATAATTTAATTATACTATTAAGGAATGTAATGGAAGAACTAACTGGAATGTCATTCAGATATAAATGTGTTACGACACGGTGGAATCGGGCACTTGTCAATTTTTGGGCGTATGGGGCTATAGGTAACATCTTAAAGCCTGTCCATTTGTCTCGCTTTTGGTACAAAATTACCCCTCTACCTTCAATAGAAGTCGAGATATTTTGGATAGAAGGAGGTGGGGAGCCACATGGTTTCAGAGGTAAAATTAGCGAGAAAATGGCTGCCAAAGTTTGGTGAGCTCCGAAGCTTAGGAGTCCTTGGAAACTGCAAATTTACATTTTTTTCGCCTTTAATAAACATTGTTCAGTAAAATCCATAAATCAGTATGTTTTTCATTGGACATAAAAGGTCTGGGGCCAAAAAATGAAAATTTGATAAAAAGTGACAAAGAAGAAGAGAACATGTTGTTTTTTTCGATCTCATTATTTTGATGTGCACCTGATTTAATAATAATAATAATAGATAGCATTTGTATAGCGCAAATCCCCTCTCAACAGCTAGCTCTATGCGCTTCACAATCTATACTATTATCCCAGCAGATCTTAGAGCATTCTGAAACAACCTCAACTTCCTGGGAAGCATACTGTGGAAGCAAACCTTTTATAGGCGCTAAAATACTAACATATTGACAAGATCTTTCGCTGTCTATGGCCGGGTACCCATTCCCACCTGGGTGAAGTGAGGAAAATTCATGTAAAGTGCCTTTCCCAAGGACACAACGACGGGCCTGCTACTCGAGCCTCCGAACCAGCAACCTCACGATTACGAGTCCGGTGGCCTCACCACTAAGCCACCGACGCCACAACAATGAATTTAACAACGATGCCTCACAAAAAAACTCATAACAAGAAATTAGATTCACATTTACATTTGTGTTGCGAGTTCGCCACTCAGACACAAGATCAAGCCTTCCTTTTTCATGCAAAATTGCATTTGAAAGAAAAGCAGCACCCCAAAACATCTCTGACTGCCAGACCAAGAGACTACTGGAAAAACAATTTGAGCCAATTCAGATCAGATTCATTGCAGCACATGACAGATAGTCATCTCAAAGAGTTGGTCAGGGTAGGTAGGGTTAGTACACATTGACCAAATTGTTTACCAGCAGGAAGTTCTAAAACTATACAGAAACAAGGCAAGTGAATATCAGAAGTGTCTTATTTATTAAAAACAACCTAGACGTAGAATCTCCGTTGTCAGTCCTTCTATCACTTTTTTTCTTTACTTTCATCACTGAATCAAAAGCTTCATTTATGCAACATGAGCTATTTTCATCCAGTAGTAGTAAAACTTCACACATAACAGCGAGTTTTGGAACAAGCCAAAACAGAACTGTTTTCAAACAATTAATTCATATATCATGATATACAGAAAAAATTGACTTATGCGATGTCCCAGTTGCACCACAGTGTCAAGCTCAGACATATCTGGTTATCTATCATCCTGAAAATTATGCCAGTCCCACTGGTTATGTTAGAAGCATGGGGGCCAAGCTGCAGTGGTGCAAAAAATATTTGAAAACACAACTGTAAAATACATACAAACTCATCTCTTTGAAATCGGTTGACTCCTCTCGTCAAAGGAATCAGAACTTTCCTAAAAATTCCTCACAGTAACAAGAATTTTTTATTTTTTTTCAAATTGGCAGTTCAAATCGACTCCCTGAAATCAATTCAGTTATTGTAAATTTAAGATATTTGCTATATTGGGGGGGGGGGGGGGGGGGGGGGGGCAATAGCCACCATTTCGCACTCGGGAAAAAGTAAGACAAACAGAAACATTTTGTATATTTGATACAAGTGTGAAATAGGCCTATCAGGCCCCTAACAAGCACACCTCACTTTCACTGAATTCTGAGTGGGAAAAAGTTTTTAAGTCCCAAGAGGACAAACAGCATTGTAACTTGTTAGGTGTACACCATTATCATTCACACACTTTTTCACTGACTGCCAGGCACCATTTTGCAGTAAAGAGAATTGAGTAAAATATAGAAGAGTATCTTTCTTAAGAATACAACATCATACACGTCAGAGCAGGAAATCAAACTCACATCTTGTATATTTGCAAGTCATTCACCTCACAGCTCAACTATGCTATTTCACTCTAGAAATATTTCTATTTTAACATCCTCAACATAAAAAGGACAAAACACCGAACTTTGACATTGGGAAAGAAGACAAGAGAAATTCTTGTTGCCATTATGAACTTGTAAAGAAGAAAGAAATATTCCAATAGAGACAGAAGGGCAAGATGCAAGAAAATGTTCAGCAGTTTAAGACAACTGAGAAGAAAACCTAGCAGCAAAACATAAAAAAGACCAAATATATGTGGGGGGGGTGAGATGCAAAACCTGTTAAGCAACATTCTGGACAAAATCAAAATTTTGTGCTTATAAATACACATTGTTACCGGCTATCAGATGAACAAAGAGTTTTCGGCCAAAACCCAACACATACTTCATAAAAGCCACCAAAAAAATCTTCTTTTTACGTATGTTTGTGAGTAGGCTTATAGCAGCATTTAAAAAAAGCTGATTTTCTCAAACATGCTCAAATGGGTGTAGTGGGTTTTGCATCTCAGTCCCTTAAATAATAAACATTACACATATAAGTAGGGCCTACAAATGTACTTTGCAAGACTACACAAACAGACAGGGGTCTTTTCTACAAAAGTTGTGTGATTAATTGTAAGTGTTTTACATTTGTAAAGCGCGACTCACACAATTTACATCACCTCCGAGGCGTGAAAGTGTTGTGCCATTGACTGCATATGTTTTGTGTTCCCACTGATACAATTTATATCATTTAGCAGGTGAGAAGGTATTTTTGTTCAAAGAAACGTAAATAATAACATCATGTGTTGATAAAACAAATAAAGTCAGCTTCCACATACAACATAGCTTAGATATGGTGGCCAAAGATCATATGAATCAAAATTGTTGGGACTTCTGTCCACATTTTCAGGCACATATTTACAGTGCTCTAAGTGAGATGTATAAAATTACCTTTTCACCATGTCAGTACAAATTGACTTTCTGAAATTAAATCAACTATTGTAAATTGAAGATATGTGGTGCACTGTTTGTACAGGTAATAAAAGGCTTATCAGGCGGCCTTTGAGTATACCCACCTTCTCTTCGAAAACCCTCGACTCTGCTTATTTAAAACCCAATTTAATGGCAGTCCATAGAAAAAGTCCCCATACCTACAGAACCACAGTGTATTCTTTTATATCGCACAGCCTGGGAACATCTACCAAATAATACAAACTCGTGCAGATATCAAAAACTAAAAAGATAATGCATCTTTTGAATGTTGTCACATGCATTATATTCATTCATCATGACTTTTGTACTTTGCTCCATACAAAGTCATTTTGACTTTCAAATTTGTTTTTTTTAAAAGAATGTAAAGTAAATCGTATGTGTCTAAACAAGGTACTAAATCCAAGTAGCACAATGGCCAGGCAGATATTTTGTATCCCTGCTCACCTGTAATTTAACGCTTGTTGCGTTCCCCTGACCACTTCTTCATACGGTGGTGGAGTGGTGGGCACACCCTCAGGTTCTGAGTACGGGTTCCCGTAAGCTATGGCGTCATAGGCCGGAGGCGGGGTTTGACTCCGCTCCTGTCTCGGAAACGGCACACTATGAGGTCCTTGCGAAGGCATGGCCACCTGAAGTGAGGCTCTCGGAGTTTCCAACCTAGAGTACGCTGGCAAAGGCACATCTGGCATTACGAATGGTCGTGTGTCAGATGAGGAGGAAGTACCCATGGCCCCCCGGGGAGAGGCTAGCTGCCGTGATGTCGGGCGCCGTTCACTCTCCCGCTCCTGTAATGCACCTCGGGCGGCAGCTTTTCGTCTCTGATATCGAAAGACGAAGATGGCAAAAACCATCACTATGGCAACAACCAGGCCAGCGAGCGGAATGGTGACTGCCAAGTGAATCACGTTGTCTGAATCATCATCCGAATCGGAGTCATCACCTGTCATTGAAGGATTGAAAAGTTGTAAGAGTTGATGAGAAATGACAGATGAAGTAGAAATTCTTCTGGATGATTTTCTTTTGAAATTTAACACCCAACTTAACAGAAGGAGTGTTATTTCAAAGCATGAGACCTTGTAACCAAAACTAAAATCACATTCATTGCAAATAATCCAGAAAGCATAAAAAAATAATTTCAGAATCAAACCGAAAATACCTTCATTTGTAACAAGTTTTTATAATCCTTTGACTCACCTTTGCCCGATTCAGTAATGAAACAAAATAGGGGGATCCGAAATGACTATCTCCATACTCCTGATATAGCCTACAGGGTGACTAAAAAAAAAAGAGGATCCACTTAAAGGACAATAGCTCCATCATCTCTGCACCAGTTTCAAAAAAACTTTGAACAAACAAAATTCAACCATAAGGGCATCAAGTCTGCAAATATGAAGAAAAGCAATCAAAAGTATTCGAGAAATATTAAGTTTTTAACATTTCAACCAAAATTGGGTAAAACTCAAAATTTTACTTCTTTAAAGCGTTCAGCTACAGGGGCATGATTGGCACGTTCTGATTCCAGGACAAGGATGGTAAAACCATGACAGTCACATCAGATGGATATCTCACTGTGCTGAGAAAGTTTTGTAGAAGCTTGGGGAAAAGGTGTTATGCTATAAAGGCCTGGTTCCAGTAAGATGGGTCCACATCCCACATGTTGAGAGTGGCCTTTGTGTAGTTGTAAGAAAGGTTTCAGGAACACCTTTAGTTTTAGTAAGGTTTTACGGCGCTCGCAACTGCATAAGGTCATTATGAGCGCCAAGGGGTGGATGTAAACAGAGAAGACCAAACGGGGAATCAGGCTTACTCTGCTCACCTCTCTAGCCTCAACAATACAAAGTCAGCTTCGACAATCAAAGCATCCCGGAAATAGCAGTTCACAAGAGAGTGACAAACATACAAAAGAAGTAGAGGAAAAATGACGATAGTAAGGATGAGGAAAGAAAAAGTAGCAGTTCCCCCTATGTTGTTCTGGCACAAAATGAGCATGACATTGATAATCAGCCCATTTACAATTCTAATGTGCATAAGAACATGTTAATATCCCCCCTTTGGGAATGGCCTAAAGACAC